GTCGGGGGCGGGGGCGGGGGGTGTCTGTGCGTCTGTGGTGGTGTCGATGGGGGCGGGGGGGGCGGGGGGGTCAGGGGGGTCCATCGAAACACCTAACACACGAGACAAAACAAGACACACGCACACAAATGGATCTTTTCATGGGTATTGATTGAGCTTCTCCTTTTCTTACTCGACAGTTGGCTATAGCTATCGTCGTCTAAGCAGCTGCTATCGGCCACCTGGCTCCCACTCTCCTCCTGCTGCTGCTGCTGGTCGGTGATGGCCCTCAGTGTGGACCCGTATGTGTTGATGCTGGTCCGCTGAGTGTCGGCCTCCCATGCGTCAAATATCTCACGGTCCGTCCACTCGCGGCAGAAGCCGTACACACCGGGCTTACCTGACACACAAACACACACACACACATGACAATGCACTGGCTGCATGTGTGTGTGGGATTGGCCGGATGCTTACCCCAAACTGTGCCGCGTTCGCCCAGCCTGTAGCCGCACCCCCGCCCCCGCCCTCCAGATGCTATCTGTGTGTCTGCGGCTCCTATCTTGCTTTTGAGAGCGTTGATGAGGCCGACAGGCAGGCCGAGCTGCTTCCACTGGTCCGAGGTCAGCTGGCGAAGCGCGTCGGCTCTGACGATGTGGCATGGTGATGATGATGTGTGTCTGTCTGTCTGTCTGTCTATCTATCTGTGTGGGGTTGTTGCTCACGTGTTGAGCCATTGGCTGCTGAGTGTGGTGTAGACTTTGATGGCGTCCTCCTCTGTGCGCCCGTGGGCCAACGCACACTCGCCGATCATGGCATACAACTCATGCCTGCATCCATCCATCACATCACCCGCACCACAACACACCACACCCACCACACACCACACACAGCCCACAGCCCACATGCACACACGCTTACACACACCAACGCACCAGGCTGGCCTTACTGCTGTGGCTGCAGCTGCAGCTGTGGCATAGAGGACGAAACGATGCGTGTGCCGACCGGCCGATGGCTCTCCATGACGGCCCTGCAGTGAATGCACTCAGACATGTAGCAGACAGAACAGTCGTTGGGCGGAGATCACTGCATGACGGGCATTGAGGACTGCATGTCAGCCTGACTGTGTGATGGATTTCATTTCTCTCGTCACCTGTGGATGTGGTTCCCTCAGATCTCTGTGGAGGGATGTGCCATGAGAAGTTGGCAAGGAGCGGCAACAGAGCCCAAGATTAAAAATGCCAAGCTCGCATTGTGCGATCCTCTCGGGGTCGCCGAGGATGGATATCTTTGGCGTTTGAGCGTTTCTGACGGACGAGAGGGACATGCTCAATCGCCTCATGAGCCAAAATCAACATCAGCTCTGCTTCGTCACCATACTCACCATCAGCGAGTATGGCTGGCGAGTAGTGGTGAGTAGGGAGGCCTCCTGATGGCCAAGCCACACTGCCCGCGTCAAGAGGTGAGAAGAATGGAATCAAAAACACAAAAGACAAGACGCACGCCGTCAAAGCTCTCGTGTGCCTGTGTGTTCAGAAGGATGTAGATGGGATGTCAGCCCACGGCGATGACGCTGATGCCTCACAGCAGGGCGGGCAGCAGGTGCGCGGATGATGCATTAATGCAGTCACATGTATACAGCTTCTCGGTTTTGTGTGTTGCTTGCTTTGTGCAACAGTCGTCTGCCTCGCTGCCTCTCTGGGTGGTGCCGCCCGATACGCTCTCGACCATCCTCCTGCCCCTGCTCGCCACACGATGCATCGTCGGCACACTCTCGCTCGTCCGTAAGGCGTTCCACGCCATCGCCGCAGACCCCTCCAACCACCACACCGTCTTCATCCACAGCCACAAGCCCATCCATCTGACACACACGCAGCTCGGCGTGTGGCCTCCTCGACTCAGTCAGACCAAGCGGGCAGTGCTCATCTGTCCGGTGACGGAGAGCGTCACGAGTCTCATCGAGGGCATGCGGCGCACTCTGGCGTACCTCCATCTGGACGAGCCGGCGTCACAACTGCACCGAACGCCCAGGCTGCTGTCGATGCGCCAGGGGGCATCGCTGGTGGAGTTTCCGGCGCTTGAGGAGATGCGTGTGGGCGGCGAGTGGGTGCAGGCTGCGCGCCGCAAGAGATGGGCACTCAGGTGAGCGAACACGCTAAGGAACGACTCACACAGCATAGCGGTTCTCATGGTGTGTGTGCGCCATTTCAGTTCGCTGGTGTCATTGAGCATCCGTAACGGCCCTTTGAGTGGTCGACGGGGTGACCTCGGTGTGTCGTCGTGGCTGTCATTCGCTTCACGCCTCCGGTCGTTTGAGCTCGACGATGGCGAAGATGACTCTGGCACGCTGCGGAGCTATGTGCCTGACCTGACAACCCTGAAGACACTGCGGCTCACGAGCAGACGGCCCTGCTTCGGGCGCGCGGGTGCAATGCAGCTGGAGGAGATCGACGTCGCCCTGCTTGGTGGCTGGCGGGTACAGTACACACAATCAGACGAGGTGCGTACAATTAACACTCTGCGACATGCAGCACGTGATTCCATCCCTCTGCTGCTCGCTCTCTCTGTGTGTGTGTGTGTTGTTGATGTGTAGGGCATTGATGAGTTCCGCAAGTCGTGTTTGGCCCCCGGTGCCAAGGAGGACTGGAGCAGGAGCGACTTGCGCTTCGACGTCCACGTGCTGTGGCAGCGAGACGATGATGCAGCTGCTGACACCACCAAGCTGCTCGCCTCCGTCGCGACTCAAGTGTACTTCGACACATCCTTGTCTTCTGCCACTGAGACCCACAGTTCCACACTCTCCCGCCTCATCCCATCGCTCGTCTTTTCTCGCGCGCGCTACGTGATGGTCGTAGGCGACCCTGCCCGCCCCCGTGCGCCTGAGATTGTCTTGTCGCACGTGCCTCGCCTGTTCCCATGCGTGACACGGGCAGAGGTGATGATGGTGAACGATTTGGGTGATGCCGTCATGCAGAGAGTGCTGGGGCACCTGCCGATGCTCGAGGCAGTGGTGTTGAATTGGTTAGAGGGCCATGAGGACATTGAAATGTGCATGTGGGTGGACCAGACAGAGAAGGAAAGGCCAATCGTCGAGCGCATTCGCCACATCACTGCCCGATTGCGTTTCCACTTCGAGCAAGGCGACAGAGAGAGGTTCATCGAGGTGACTAGTGTCATTAGAGACGCGATTCGCCAATTGCCTCGTCTCGAGAGGATCGTTGTCGATATCACAGTGGGGGGCGAGGGGTGGGAGGGGCAGGAAGACATAGTGGCCACATTGCAACAGGACCTGACGTCGCGTCCTGACACGAACGACTTCACTGAGGTGCCGTTTCATCTGTTGCTGCGTGAGTCTGGTTTTGAGATGGTTGAGCTGCCCCGGCTGGCCTTCGACTGTCGTGTGGAGGTGCGTCGGCTCGGCCTGCCCATCCCATCACAGAAACGCATCACTGACTACTTCTCTGCCAGACAGACAGTGAGATAGACAGGAGGAGGGCGATGGTAGCTGTACAGGCGGTCGGTGGACTTGGGAACGATTGGCTCTGCTTGTGTGTGGGGAGGTGCTTGTCGATGTGGTCGTCTCCCTGCTCTAGGCCTGGCCTGCATACGATGGGGGCCTATTGCTTGGTGACGCACACGTTGCTGGCTGACAACCCATGCGCAAGACGCCGGCGGAGTGTGTGTGAATATGATAGCCTGACTGAATGGGATGTGCGTCAGAGACACAGCTAGCTGTCAATGCCATGGGTGCCTGACCAGTCAATGTGTGCGTGAACATTCAATTCTCACGAATGTTATCATTACTTGAGTGGGCACATCGTCATATACACACAGCAGGTCCTGCCGTCGAACGACCAGTGCAGTAACCCAGAGCAGCGACAGCCACAACACACACACACACACACACAAGCCCATACAAAGAAAGAATGAGAGAGAGAGAGACGGTCATTGTACTGTCGAGCTACCCCGCATGGCATCATCTCCCCATCCCCCTCTCCCGCCACTTCTTTGTGTGCAGACTCTTGCTCGCCAGCAACTCATCCAACAGCTCCTCATCCGCACCAAAACACCACGCCGTGCTCACCAAAGCGGCCGGATATCTCTTGCCCGCCTTTTGTGAGTATAGCAGAGACATCACCTCCCTGTCTGCACGGTTGCCCGCCTTGCGTGGCCGTCGGGTGGGCGAAGTAAAGCCGTCTGATTGGGAGGATATGGGGATAGCCACGTGGTCGGATGGAGGGAAGGCAAACAGAGGCGTCGAGGGAAGTGAGGGGCAGCTGAGGGGCCGGGCAGGGGAGAGCGAGGAGCTGACGGCTTCGCGTTCATCTTTCGGGCCTTCTGGCACCGGAGCGGGTGTCTCCTGTTGTTGATCTGCATGCTCTGTCTCATCGAAAGGCTTCTTGGGCGTCATGTCCACCCTCCTGGGAATGACCGGCACATTTGCCTCCCCGTAGACTCCACGCCACCGCTCCTCCTCTCTCGACGGCATGGGTGACGACACAGTGACAGACGGCTGCTCCTCGTGCGTCCGGCGCCTCCCTGCCCGTGTGGCCTTCACACCGCGAGGAGCATCGATCGGGGGCAGTCTGACGTCCTCTTCCTCTTCTCGTATGGACGTCAAAGCGAAGCAGGCATCGGGGTGGTCATCCGAGCATGAGAGCCGCGGAAGATGGGAAGAGTCCTCCGAAGTTGCTTCCGATCGGGCTTTCCTCACTTTGACGGTCCGTCTTGACTGCCGCCGTGACCGAGCGGGCGAAGAGGATGTTGACGTGGAGGCCGGCAGCGTGTGGCGGGCAATCCACGTCGCCTCGATGGCAGCGGACCAGCCCTGCTCCATTGCAATAGCACGGAGGGACGACTGAATGGTGCGCCTGTGGAGGAAAGGAAAGACGGCACGCACCAATCGGCACAGAAGGGAACGAGTCCGTCAGAAGCACGCACCGCCACTCACCTCTTGAGAAAGCCCCTATATCTCCTCAGCACGGCGGTCGCTCTCTCCGCAACGTCTTCCGGGTCCACACCCGCCCTTCTCTTGCCCTCGGCCTCGCGAGCGGAGGAGGCCCCACTGACGGCCGCCGACGCCCTCTTCCCCCTGGGAGTGCTGCTGTGACTGTCCTTCCTCTTTCTTGGCACAGGCGGACTCAACAAGTGCGGATCGGCCTGGCTGTATCCCTCGCTGCACACCAGGGGCAGGGTCTCGTCGCTATCAGATTGGGGCTCCCAGCTGTTGACGGTCGGGGCAGAGAGGGGGCGGCAAAATGTTGACGGTAGGATAGGGCTGACGTGTGTGAGGAGAGAAACCAACGTAGCAGCCCCATCGATGGACGGCGGCTCCAGAGCGATGCTCACCGCTGGAGAGGACGCCATCTCGCGAGAGGGGGGTTGCGAGCTGAAAGACCGGTTTCGCGAGGGGAGAGCTCATCTCTCTTCGGCGAGGGAGATGCGCACCGTCGTCCTTTTATCTCTCTGGAGAAGCGGAGGTTCCGATGATTCGATCTCACTCGGTGTCGTGAGTCAAACCCATTGATCTGTGTCAACCCATTGGTCTGTCCAAGCTTTCTTGCTATCCCTCCCCGCTCAATGATGCCTTGCGAGGCGAAATCCCCTACTAAGCGAGATGCCGAGATGCAGCCCCACACAGGCGATGCCGCCCCTCCCCTTCCCATCAAGGACGGCCCATCGGGCACGCGAGATGTGGAGCCCACCAGGCCGTCCACCCATGGCGAGGCAGCGCAGCTGACTTGGGACAAAGTGGTGGTGAGGTCTGAGGCGACTGGAGCGGAGGAAAAGACGTTCGTGCCTGCAACGGATACGGTGAGTGAACCAAAGCAACAAGCAGACACCGTCATGCATGACGCAACATGACACGTGTCGTGTGTCTGCCTGTGTGTGCCGCCTGTCTTTCTTTCCGCAGGTGGAGTCGTTCCTCAAGACGTGCATGGGGTGGTACTCGGACGGCTCACCGTCATCTTCGTCTGTGCAGCTGTCCATCCATCGGCCCACCCTCCCCCCTCTCCACTTCACCCTCTCCCTATCCAGCCCCCCGAACAAACCCGACGGTCAGGAGGCCGACAGGGACAGCAGCGATACCAAAGCTGCCGCCTCAGACACACCCGGCAAGGACGCGAAAGGCGACAAGCGCGACGAGGCCGAGGGGAGCAGCTTCAAGAGTGCCCTGAGGCAGCTGCCGCCCCGCGCGCCACCTCCGGAAGAGCCGCCACATCCCGCGTCTCTGCTCCCTCGCCTCCCCTCTCTGAAGCAGATGTCCTCCAAATCCGCCAGCGAGGACGCCACGGCTCCGAGCACCGACAGCAAGGACACCACCACGACCACCACCATCACCACCACCACTACGACGAGAGGAGCCTCCAATGGTTCGTCTGTGTCGCTGTTCCGGGCGCTGGCGCGCACATTGCCGCCCTCGCCCTTGGAGAGGGCCGAGGACAAGACGCCCAAGAACCGTGGGGGTGGGAAGCGGAGGGAGAAAGGCGATATGAAGGGGGGCAGCAGCAGCGGCAAGGAGAACGGTGCTTCACCGGTCAACAGTGTCAAGAGCGACGATTCGGGCAAGAGCGGCGGCAGGGCAGCCGGGCGCGCTGCCGCCTCGTCTGCGCCATCGGTGCCCGTTTCTGCGGCCGCCGCCGCCACCACATCGGTGTTCTCGAGCCTGCCTTCTCTGTCCACCCGTCCCATTTTTGGAAAAGGTGGAGTGGACAAGGTGGAGAGTACTCCTCCCATTTTCGCCAGCCCGCCACTCGTCCCCCCTGCTGCCTCGAGCGGGTCGCCATCCCTGTCATCCCTGTCGTCGTGTCTGGTGCTGGGCAGGCAGACCGGCAAGCCCTTCGTCGTGCCTACACCCGCGCCCCCGTCGCCGCCCTCGCCTTCGCCCGTTCTCCCCGCCGTCCCGACCATCAAGAAGGAGCCCGTCAGCCCTCGCAACCATGACGGCCCACCTCCGGCTGCGTCTGCATCTGTATCTCCTGCTGCAGCTGCTGCTGCCATGCCCGTCATCAAGACCGAGAAGGGCGAGTCAGCGACCACCACCACCACCACCACTACTCCTGACAAGACGGCAAGGGATAGGGAGGGTGGGAATGGTGTGTCGTCGAGGAAGAGGGCGTTGAGCAGTTTGCCGCCGCTGCCGGGCGACCTCGACACGGACTACTACCTGCAGGTGTATCGTGAGCTGTATGGGGAGCGGGTCAACAAGAAGATCAAGAAGGAGGAAGAGGACTGACTGACTGACTGACTGGATGGGTCAGACCAGAGAGGCGGATGCATCGCTGGACGGGATGGATGGGTGGAAGGATGTCTAGGTGTCGTTTTGACTGACGGGGGGGAAGGGCGGTGGGCGGGGCGGGGCGGCTGCATCTGCATAGTGCAGTGCAGCGCCTGTATACATACACACATACACACACATGCGATGCGTCCTCTGTGTGGGTCAAACTGGCCTCAGTTTGTTTGTGGCGGCAGAGAGACGAGACGGACCGGACAGGCGTGATTGATATCAATCAATGCGCAACTGTTTTTTCCGAGAGAGGGCTCTGTCGCGGACCGGCACGTGTGTGTGTGTGTGCCTTCCTTGTGCGGATCGGCACGTTATGTGTGTGTTTTGTCTTTTTTCAACTCGGACGCCCATGCCATGTATGCCTGAGGGGGGGAGAGGTCCTCATGGCTCCATGTCTCGACGTCATGAGTTGCTCCTCCTTTCTGTTCACGTGCCTCTCTTTACTGATGCATCTGTCGATCCCCCCTCCGCCCCCCCTCCCTGATGCCTGCGTCCTCCTTGCCGTGACCTCGTGATGTACATATGGCGTGTGCCTGTTGTGTGTGTCGATATCACGCAAACGCGCACTGCCCCCCCCCCACCCCGCGGCTTTTATTATGTTTGCCGCGACATCTCTTTTTTCTTTTTCCCGACAGGGTTCCCCGTGCTATTCCCGCTCAAAGCCTCGTGATTTTTCCTCCTACACGCGTTTATGTGAAGTTGTGTGCACCACACGTGTATGCGTATGTGTGTATGTATCCTCGCCTCGCTTGGTGGGCAGAGGAGAGTTTGAATGCGCGTCTGTGTGTCCGTCGTCCGTTCCGTGTGTCTGTGTGTCTTTTTGCGTGCCCCTGCTGGCGCCATGACTGACTGACTGACTGATTGTCTGAGTGGATGGTCTTTTATTCAGACAGACTTGCATGAAGCTATGCATCAACCAACCAACCAGTTTTGAAATGTCCTCAACGTGCCGCGAGGCCAGCCAACTTGACAGACACGTCACCATATATCCCCTGAATGGCAGGGCAGGCACACGCTGTCAACGGACGGCACCCGACGGTGTTTGTATCAAGCAAAGCAAGCAACACATGTACCACATGAATGTCAGTCAACCGAGCGCGGCAAAATATAAAATTATACATAGCTGTGGCCCCCACAACAGTCGGTCAGCCTGAGCCCGACTCTGGTTGGTGACTGAACGCAGTGCCTTGTGCAGGGTCCTCTTCTCTCAGTGTCTTCACCCAATCGGAACACCTGCCCACAGCACAGCACAGCACAGCAGTTTCGAGAGAGACACGCTTCTCCCAGAGGAAATGAGTTCACATGTTGTCATCTCCCATGAATATACCTTTCGATCAAGACCTCAGCAATGGATGCCTTCAGGAAATCGTCGCCATGCTGTCTCAGCATCACGCCCTCAGCACGAGTGGCCACCACGTCCAGCAGGTGGTCGCGGATGAAGCACGGCAAGGCCACCTGGTCCATCATACGGGCCGCCTCTTCCGCGGACTTTCTCTCCTTCTCCCGGCTGCCCTCTCTCCCCAGATCGCTCAGAGCCTCGTCGACAAGCTCCTGCACGAGGTTTCCAGTGACGTCGGCCATATACGCGTCGCCGATCCGTGTCACTGCATGATCGAAATGCGCCTCATTGAGGGTCTCTTGTGCTATCTCCTTGATCCACGGCTGCATCACCCGGTCCAGGAATCTGTCCGCCCTGCTGCGCCATACGTATTCGTCGCTGATGTCGCGCACGGCCTCTTGGCATATGCGGCGCACTTCATTGTTCAGAAAGCCGTCGAGGACGGAGTCTGCCATGAGCTCGATGGCGGTGCGAGGCGCCTCGAGTGCACGCTGTCTTCTCAGGTGGCGATCGGCGGCTTCGATGGCCATAGCCAGACGGACGGCCTGATCGATCAAATATCGGCATGTGCACGTCTGTGTCTCAGACAAGCTCAAGCTCACCTCGTAAAGATACTCCGTGACAACGTGATCGATGATCTTGTTGGCGGTGAGCTGCAGTCCCCACTCCCTGGCTTCCTCCTCCGTCTGGGCCTCAAACAGGTCCTCCAGCACGCCAACCAACACGTCGTCACACTCCTCAGTCACCACCTGATCCACAATGGACATCATCGCCTCATAAGCCCTCCCAAGCATCCTCAGCGCGTCCGGCAACACACTCTTCCGCACCACATATCCCCTCCACATGCGCTGTATCGTCTTGGCAGCCACACGGTGCTTCCTCACGCCCAGCTTGGCCGTGCTCTTCCTCGACCCCCTCTCGCTCGCGCCGTCCTCCGTCCGTGCAGAAGGGGGCCATCCGCCTCTGGCCGTCCTCTCGTCCCTGTCCGTCGGCACGATGGATGCGAGGCTCGATATGAGCGGGCCGGCAAGAGGGCTGAGAGCCCCACTAGCGAGCAGAGGCGGGAGAGGCGGGACCTCAGTTGCGTCCACGGGCTCCGTCTGTGCGTAGGAAGAGGGCCGGGGCGGCAGTGTCGGGCGCGGCCTCGTGGCTGCCAGGGGGTGCTTGGATGGGAAGAAATCCATGGTTAAGGTGGGTGGAGCAGCAGGTGGCATGGTGTGGCGCGAGAGAGGGGTGGATGGCATTGCGTCGAAGAGTGAGCGGCGAGATGGGGTCGACGGATCATCCATCTCAACGACGCTGGGCCGCCAACTCAACCGTCGTTTTCGAGTTAGGGAAGGGCGCCAAACACTCGGGATCAGTTGCACACGGCGTGAACGATGGACGACTGTTTTTCTCAGAATCCATGGCAGATGCAGATGCAGCAGGCGCCGTTGAAGATCGAAGGCGTGCTGCCCAAGAAACGCAAGCAGTCTGGAGATGACCTCCAGCCGCCAGCACCCGGCCCATCACACGACGACCAAAGCCACCAGCACAGGCCAAGCGGTCATGAGGATGCTCCTGTTGCCGCCTCTCGTCCATCCGCCGACCAGGCGTCAGTGCAGAAGGGCGGTGCTGCGTGTGCTGTGGGAGGTGTTGTGGTCAAGCAAGAGCCGGGAGTGGGCGGCTCTCCGGCGGCGTCAACAGCGGACGACCACAAGGGGAAGATGGTGGCAGCTTGCAAGACTCCTCCGAGGACACCAGGTGTGTGACGCAGAGAGCCCTGACTGGCCGCATGGCTGGATGGATGGCCGGTCCGCGCATCGCATCATGCAATGCACATGCAGGTCAGGAGATCACGGCCACAGATGCGGTGAGTGTGAGTGTGAGTGTGCGATAACTAACGGGCTGCCCATGCACACCTGCATACTCTGGGTGTTCGAGCTGTGCAGGAGTTGGCTCGTTTCGGTGTGGTCGAGTCGGAGGGCTTCCTGCCTAACGAATTAGTGGTGGTCCCAAGAAGCGGCAACCGCCTGTGCTACGCAAGGTTCATCGATGCAGAGTGAGTGAGCAAAACCATTTGCAGAGGCTTTCATTCATTCAGCTATCCACTGACTACTGTGTCCTGTGTGCCATCAGCAAGGACCTGGGGATGGTCAAGGTGTATCTGTGCCCTCCCAACGACGGAGCGCAGCAGCAGAAAGAGCTGCCAGGTGACCAAACGCGTCCGCACCCACACACACATGGATGGTTCGATGGAGTCGACGCATTGCTCCCTGGACGGACGGATGTGGTGTGTGCAGGCGTGTTAGTTGGGAAGCTGCCCCCTCTGGTAATCATGGCGGACAGGAAGGAACCAGAAGGCGGCTACGCTGACTGTGTCCGCTCTTGTGTGGTGGCTGCAGAGGCAGTGCAAAGGCGAGAGCGTCCACACAAAGGTAACCGAGACCGCAGCAGACACACACACACGTCCCTGCAAAGCCCCTCCTACCCTGCTGTTCGTGTCAGGCGGATCGTGCCAGGGACACCATCAGTTCGCTTCATTCGTTTCTGAAGCAGCACCTGCCTTCTCCGGAGGTCATGACGGCCGCGGCAAAGGCCATCGGGAAGCAGACCAGCACCACCAACAAGGAGGGGGCAGCGCCTGCAGTAACTAAACCACAGATTCTCTCACGTCACATGTGCTATCTATAACTCCAGTGACTGACGCCTGTGTATGTGTGTGCCTTGCCTTGTCAGTTGAGCTCAAGTGTCCTCGAGCACTCACTGTCGCTGCTCGTCCACCAGGTAGGCGCTGTGTGCTGTCTGTCTCCTCCTCTGCTGTGTACCCACCATGTCTGTCTGCCCGTGTGTCTGTGTGTCTGTGCGTCCAGGCGTCCCTACTGCACTCTTATGCATCCGCCGCATCCAGTGCCACTATGCCGGCAGAGCTGCCGCCGCCACCGACTGGCGATATCAAGGCAGAGGCAGCAACAGCAACAGGCACGAGCCAAGACGAGGTAGCGCAACACACGCCAATAGCTCCAGAGAGGACAACAGGGAAGCCGCCTGCCCATTTGCTTTGATTTGCTTGCAGGATGTGGCCGCGTTGAGGAAGGCGTTGCGCGACGAGAGGGCTGCCCACGTCAAGTCTGCGAGAGCCGCACTCAGCACTGCAGCTGTTTGAAAGAATGTTGCGCATTTGTGCGTCAGGGAGCTGCAACTACTGCGAGAGGGGATCAACCTGCAAATCGACCAGGCCATCAGGTCTGTCTGTGGTGGGAATGGTCCACGTGTCTGTCTGCTGTGCTGCCCTGCCCGTTGCGCTGCATCCTGTATGTGTGTGGATGTAAGTAATGCATGCAGGTGGCACTCACTGTCGCCCCGGTCTGAGAGGCCCTCATGATGGATGCAGCGAGCGACGGACGGGTGCAGCCGTAGGTAGGATGTGTGTAGAGAGAGGTACATGGCGCACCATCCACTCATTAATGCATTGCGAGAGAGCTAGACCAACTCAGACGTTCGTGTCGTATGAACATGTATCTGTTATCGAAGCTGTCACCGTCTGCCATGTCATCCAGTCAGTCAATCATTCACCGCACACACTCATCCATCAGTCAACACCATTAAACGCACCTCATCCTGCCGCCGTCTCTGGCTACATAGAGAGAGGCAGGCAGCAGATGAGCATCTACCACGGCATTCACGTCGGTGACACCGTCTGGCTGGGTGCCACTGGGTGAACACATCAGGAGAGTGACTCATACTAACTCCATGCCAGCTGCTGCCAGTCGACCGCTGCCACGTCCTTGGTGAAGCCGTTGTCGATGCTGGCCGGCAGCCCGTCGTATCTCGCGGCCTCGTCCAGGATGGCCCGCTGCACCACCTCACGCAACTCCAGCAGCCGATGCCCCCTCACGGCGAAGCACTGCAGCTGCGGCACCCGCACCCTCTCGCCGCCCACATTGGTCGTCCCGCCCACCACCTCCTTATTGCCCACCACCTGCAGCGATGCGGCGGCCCTCACGAACCGCGCCATCGCAGTGTTGACGCGGCGGCCGACCTCAGTCACGTTCTGGACGGGGCGGGGGCTCTGCTCGAGCACCGATGGGTTGACGAAGGACGACGCCACGCGCCATGCGATGGCCGACATGTCCTGGTTGGCGAAGGGCATGTAGTCGTCTTGCCAGGAGGGCTCCGGGTCGACGTGTGGGGGGAGGGGGGGAGGAGGCACCGAGCGGCGGGATGGGTCGAATGAGAGGAAGGCGGCCTTGAGCCGCTGGGCGGTGGCATTGTGGAGTGCCTCTGTCAGCGCGTCGGCCATCTCGCGCTGAGGTCGCAGGGCGGCGTTGACGGCAGCCATGACGTCATCCGGCATCTCGTTGAGCACTGTCGCGTACTCGGGCAGCACCAGCTGGCGACGACGGTGGTGTCGCTCTGTGGCTGTGGGCATGAGGGCGATGTCAGCGCCCGCCTGGAGGAGCACACGGATGGTGGTCCTGATGCGGGGGATCCGGATGCTGAGCCGATCCCTCTCGGCCTGCCCCGTGTTGTTGTCTTGCAGCCGCTGCGTGTCGTCATCGAGTCGCTTGGCAGCGACAGTGAGAGGTGTGAGGGTGGAGAGGTTCGGCAGGCCTCTGTTGATGTCGGCAGCGGGGAGGCGCCGGCAGAGAGACGCAGCGACACAGTGGAAACCCCAGTTTGCCACCCGATGCAGTGGCGTCCAACCAAGAATGCCTGTCGCCGTGATGTCCGCCCCGTTGGTGATCAGCAGGCCGATGTAGCTCTCGATAAACTGCTGGGACCAGACGGGAGGGGTCAGGGCCGCCCAATGCAGCGGACTGGTGCCATGGTTCGCATCGGTCTCGGTTGCGAGTGTGCTGTCCCGCTGGATGAGCTGCCGGTAGATGGACAGCAGCGTGGCCTCGTGAGCCTCAGTCGGCTGGTCCGTCGGCAATGTGAAAGGCAGCTCCATCACCCGACGCCCCCGCAGCTGGATGCCTGGAACAGACAGACAGACAGACAGACATAGAATCGAACATCATGGTGTGTGTTACGTGTCGTGAGTGCTGTGAATGGGTGCGTACCTGGCTGGCCCATCAGGAGGCCGAAGGCGGCCCGGTTGCACGAGGCGATAGCCACTCGGATGGGCCTAGAGAACCCCCTACCTGCGTTGATGTCCGCCCCTCTTTCGATGAGGGCCTTCATGATGGCGAGCTGGAGCGTGGTGTCCTCCCACATGGGCAAAACGACGGGACAGTAGTCATCGCCGTCGGCTGCCCAGATGGACGGCACGCTGTTGTCCGTAAGATTGTCGATGCACAGCGACATCAGCGGACAGGTCCAGTAGCCACCCGTGCTGCCCGCCGCCCGCAGCAGTGTCTCCACATTGGGGTCGGCTCCCTGCTGCTGGATCATGTCCGTCATCTGCTGTGCGTCAGTGACGGTGCGGCGGATGATGGCCTTGGACAGCCGACTGCTGGCGACACTGGTGCCACAAGGGAAGCGGGCGTCAACGACCTCCTCCTTCAAGCTCTTCCAGCCAGGTGGTAGCGGTGGACCTGTGGCACAGCGTCCACAGGGGAGGGTGGTATCTGTGTTGGTGGTGGGTGATTTGTTCACCGACCTCTATCCTGTCGGTCCTGCTCGCTGCCCTGCTGCCCACCAGAGGCACCAACACCAGCTCCACCAACACCACTGCTGACGCCCCCTCCGAGACGGGGCGGTTGCGGTGGGCGAAGACCAGTGGATGAAGGCACGCCAACACCAGCAGCAGCAGGAAGGGCAGCGGGGGGGTTCTGCACACACCATACACAACAAAACACAGCCATGCCACCTGTGGGTTAGTCAGCCATCATCGTGCTGTGGTGCTGACTGAGGGACAGAGGAGGCATGCAATCACCTGTGGCTGTTGGCCATTGGGCAGTTTGGCGGCAGGTTGGTTTGTCTGGCCGTCTCCCCTGGCCCTCTTGTGCTCCTCACGCTCCAGAGGAGAGCCGGCACGCTTCACAACACCTACACCTTCACACACACACACACACACACACGACCCAGACCATGATGACGAGCTGCAGCAGCCCGGCTGCTGTGCATTCATTGACTACCCGTGTAGCTAGATGCCGATGCTGCCGATGCTGCTGCTGCTGCTGCTGCTTTGTGGCCCACCCGCCACGCTTGCCGTGAGATGAATGACCTGCCGTTTGCCGCGGCGGAACAGCCGATGACACACACAGGTAGGGGAGAGTGGGTGAGGGTGTCTGTCTGTCTGTCGCGGTGCTCTTGTGTGTTGGCGTACCGGTGATGGCATGTGAGAGGGCTTTGTCATGGAGGCGTTGTTCCTCTGCCTCATGACGACATTGCTCACCGCACCATCGCCCGCACGGTCCTCCTGGTGCTCCTCCACATCCACTGGCCGCCGCTCGTCACCGCCGCCACGTTGCTCTGCACGCTCTAGATCGTCTGCACACACGATGCTTGGCGATGTTGCGATGTGTGTGATGTGCTGCATCTGTCTGAGCTGAGTGTACCTTCATCGCCATCGTCACCGTCCGCCGGGCCAGCAGAGGCCATGTCGGTGTCCTGACGACCCGACGACATCGCTCTCACTCACTCAGACAGACAGACAGCTGCACCACGGACCACACACAGACAGATGAGGGCCTGCAGGCACCTGATGCATTTGTTGTGTGCGTCAGTGCTTGCCTATCAAAGGTATGAGTCGGCGGCCAGCCGCACACTCACAGACACACTCAACCAACCACTCCGCCCGTCGACAAGGCAGACCTGAAGACCACAAACACACACAGCCAGCAGACAGATCATCGGCGTCCCTGTGAACGCAACCAATCGCCGCATCTTCCCACTCACCGTCGGAGAGGCCGCCACGTGGCGCTTTCAAGAGTGACGGATAAGCCGCTGATGGATCAGTTTGCACACGGGAAGCGGACCAGCAGGGCTTCACAGTGCCTCCACTGGCTCACCAAGAGGACCCTTAAACAACAAAATCGTCCCCTTCTCTCAGGCTCGCATCGATCGGCTTGGGGTTGACAATGGAGGGTGAAGGAGCCCTTCTGGTGGGCTCACAGGACTCGTGAGGAGCCAAGCATTCAGCCGCAGTGCGCCCAGCTCACTTTGGATGAATTGCTGATGTGAATAGAGCAGCTCACTAAGTGAGCGTATGCTGCTGATGGATAGACTCCTATGTGCCCACAATGTTTGTGTCTGCGCTGCGTGAATCGATGAAGAGTGGTCACTACTTCACATGAGCACACAGTATAACAAAAGCATGAGACATCTCACACAGTCACCATCCCGCCGTCGGCCGCTCTTCGAGGTCACTGTGGCAGTCGACAGGCACACACCAAACACACACACACACGATGGCCGCACACACGATGGCATCGCTTCCTCGCGATCGATCTCTATACTGTCAGCTGACTGCCCTTCTGAGAATCACACACAAACACACACGCCCCTCTCCCCTCCCCTCCCCTCCCCAGCTCACACAGCCTCTCTCAAAAGCTCGCCAGTTTGCCCAGCAATCCCTCGCCGTCCCAGTCACCACACCAGGGGCAGTCAGCCGCACCAGCAGCGCGCGCCCAGATGCGCCTCGTCGTGGCGTTGTCCCGCCGCAGCATTTCGCTGTACTTGATGTCAGCCCTCGTCAGCGATGTCATCACACAGAGGGGCTAAAGGCGAACGGCAGCAGCCGGCTGAGCAACCGGTTGATGAGCGCGTCATTGCAGCCAACCCACTTAATAAGCTGGCCCGCTGTTTCTTCCACCGTCTTGTGGACTTGTGCTGCTGCTCCTCCTCTTGCTGTTGCCGTTGCTGTTGAAAGGCTGCCTCTTGCTGTTTCAGCAGGTCGATGGCCTCGCGGATGCCTCGCAGCATGGCTGCCTGCCGCTCACCATAAGCCTCGCTCTCTCCGCCCTGTCCCTCTGCCTCTCCCATGATGGCCCACTCAGGATGCTCTTCATCGGTCCGGACCTCGATGTCAAAGGAAGCGCCGATGGCCATCCGGGCAGACCTGAAGGGGTGGCCCTCAGAGAAGCCCACTCATATCGGCCCGCCGCAGCCACCGCCCGTATGGTCTGCACGCCCCGCACGCAGACACATTTAGACGCACACAGATGTCCTCAGAGTGGTGAGTAGTTGGGTTTGCTCGTTTGCCGCCCACCTCTCTTGAGCTCTGCCGGCAGTTCTACACTATGTAGAACTGAGCATAGTTGCAGTACTGCGTGTAGATCTGATCGAGAGCTTTGCCTTGTCCTCCACGGGGCGCAAAGGCCGTCTGGCACGGATGTCGCCGAGCTTCTCGATCATCTTGTTGACATTGTACTCTACACACAGTCACAGACACAGACACACACACAGACACACACACAGAGAGAGATGACTCGAACATACTCGAACAGTGGTGTGCACCACCGTCAGATGGCGCTTTGACGGTGGTGCTTGTGGCTGTGCAGGTGATATGTTTGATTTGGTGACATGTTAGAACACAACACTGACTGGCTCGTACGTGAGCGTTCTGCTGCGTTATGTCATCCGACAACCGGCAATCAGTCCATCCCTTTCAGTCAGACACACTCGATCGAGTGGATAAATGCACGAGAGTCACCATGACATGCACAAGGCAGGCCACCCAATGGAGGGAGGGTAGGCTTAGATAGATAATCAGGGCAGGCACCCGCGCAGGGGAGGCAGGAGGGCATGCAGACAGCAGAAACATCCACCCGGTGGACGGACGAGAAAAACACCCCATTCCATTCCATGGCATGCATCCGACGAACAAATAGCCGCCCGCTCTTCTGCGAAGAAAGGAGGGAGGGAACGGTGGGTGCCATTCCTCACTCACTGCTCGGGGCGTGTTTCTATCTCCCGTCTCCCCACGGAGACCACTGTGCTCGTGTTAGGGAGCACACGATCAGCGTGAGAAGATCCGTGAGGAAACTCCGCCGCGAACGGTGCAAGACACCCAGGAAGACAGTGTCGATCGATCAACAACGAGGACGGGCACGCGTGAAATGGTCTCCCCTCCCCCCCGCTCCCCCACTCTTTCTCATTACGCGGGCTCACGTTCTTCCCATCCCCGCTAGCAAGTCACTCGGCCACACTGGCTCGCCGTCTACCGCAGCCTGCCTGCATAACCTGCCCGCCCCACGACATCGCATTCTAGCTGTGAATGATACAATGGCCATTAGAAAGAAGAAAGACCCGCCAATTGCTGTTGATGCGCTCACTCACTGCCTGCCTGCATGGCACTGCCTGCCTGCATGGATCGTGTCTGTCGTATGGTGACGTCAGAGGTGGTGTATGACGTCCTTGAGGTAGTGCGACGCCCGCGAGAGGAGGGAGGTGTCCATCTGACGCTGCAACTCTTGACGACGATGCCTAAACACACACATACATAGACACCCACAGACACAGACACATAACAACAAAGTGCAGGTGCTGCCTGTGTCTTGTGTTGTGTTGTGTTGTGGTGATGGTCAGTCACGTCACCGACCTTTGCATGAGGTACTCCCTCAGCCAGTGGATGCCCAGCCCGCCCCCAACGAGCAAAACCAAACGAAAGGTACCTGTGTGGTGTGCACACAACCAATCAATAAGACGGCATGGCATCAACACAGCTGGCGGCGTGTGCGTGTGCGCGTGCGTGTGTGTCTCGAGGCACTTACCCGACTTGAGGAGCCTTCTGGCCCATCTAGGCAGCTTGATCCAGGCGGGAGGGTCAGGCTCTGCTGGGGGGGCCTGCGTGAGGCTCTCAGCGACGGCCTTCATGTTGTTCTGGATGATGACAGGTGGCGGCTGGGCCGCCTTGCTCGTCGCCTCTACCGTCTGCTTGACGATGTGCTGAGTCCACGCGGCGATGCTCTGGGACCTGACAAAGAATATAAACGGACAGACAGACGCAGACAGTCTTCCCGTGGCACGACAATGGACCTCTTCCCCTCCCCTCCCCTCTCCTCTCTTCTCCTCTCTCTGTGTGTGCGTGTGCGTGTGCGTGTGAGTGTGTGTGTATGCGCACCAGAGCTGCTGCTGCGCCAGGTTCTGCTGCATGGCGCGTGTCTGCTGCGCCCCCCAGCCGCTCCCCTCCCCCGGATGTGCAGCAACGGCGTATCCATGCCTGCCGCCCGCTCCCGCCCCCCCATTAGCACTCGCACCGGCGTACGGCGCCACCGAGTAGTCCGGCTGGGGATAACCAGCTCCGCCGCCCTGTTGGTGATACGCAGCATAGGCACCAGCAGAGGAAGGGGGGGGGGG